AGGGTTGTTGAGTATCCAAGGATTTCATAGCATTCATAGTCACGTGACAAAGAGCGCGACAGCGCGACCGAGCGAGCTGTCGCAACACGACGGTCGAAGGGAGCAACATTTGGAGAACGAAGGTTCTATATAAGACTGGCACGTCTGCCATTTAGATAGGAGCTTCGTGCTCAACTTAGTTATCAATCTTGTCATATTAGTTTGACATCTTTGATACAAGTAACGAGTTCACTTCCAAGTGAACAACCCGATAGTCTTCTTCTTATCATAGCATACCAACCAGCGAACACCCAGCCAAGTTTAGTTAGCCAGTTTGAGTATTCGTTACACTAGGTATGTTACCCAAGTATTCTTAATATTAATAAACTACTAGTAAAAAAGAAATTTCTTAAAGTAGTTATATATATTTAACTACTATAGGCTTAATAATAAATATCTAAAGAAGTAGAATAAATAACTCTTAGAAAGGAAGTAGTTCTAACTAAGAGACTTATTAAGGTTTTTCTTAATATTATAAAAAATATAAGCTTAACTACTAAGAAGGCTGAGAGCTATTAGGTCTATACTATAGTATTAAATAAGCCTAATAAAAAGCTAAGTAAAGTAATATTAGGCTATAATGGGCGCTTAATAAAATATTCTTACTTAAATCCTTTCTATAACTGTAGCCCTAAGAAGTATTACTAATTAGAATATATTTTAACTAGATACTATAATCTACCTTTAAAGAAACCTATAACTAAGGAGTATACCTAAGATATTCTTACTAAGCTCTAAGAAAATAAGTTTAAAGAACTAAGAAAAACAACTTATTTAGTAAAGCTAGCTCTACTTAGATAGGAAAATAGGAATTATAGTAGGTGTCACGAATCACGTATAATCATGTGACGAGTGAAGACCAGGCGGCGCCCTGACAGGTTAAGCACTATCATATCTCTTATAGCAAATAGGGATCGTTTAGGCTAGCTAAGCGATCCATGGATCTCATTGCATTGTAATTACGTGAGCGAGCGACTGTTGTTGGTGTCGGTCGAGTCGACTGTCGCTCTGAGCGACAGGCGGTCGAGTCGCTCTGCGATGATCAACAGAGAACGAAGGTTCTATATAAGACTGGCACGTCTGCCATTAGATAGGAGCTTCGTGCTCAACTTAGTTTACTTAGTTATCAATACCTTTTGACTTTGACGACTTTGTACAAGTGACGAGTTTACCTCTGAGTAAACAACCTGGCGCATCTGATCTTCTTATCTGCATACCAACCTTCGGAACGATTACTTTTGTTAGATAGTTTGGGTTTCGTCACAGTAGATCCTTCTAAGAGATTGTCTAAGCTATCTTTCCTATTTTTATATATTAGCGCTATTTTAGACCTAGCCTTAATAGACGTATTATTTAGTAATCTATAGTAAAACCTTAGAGTATACTCTACTATACTCGATTTTAGTTATTACTTACTAAGTAAGAGTACCCTACTAGATAACTATAAAGCGCTTTACTTTATTAATAGTAAATTATTACTTATTCCTAGCTCTTTTAAGCTAGCTAGACCTAATAAGACTATTAAAGCTAAGACTTCTTATATAAAGATCTTAGGTTATAAAAAACGTATTATTAAGAAAGTAATAAATAGACTAAATAGACCCAAAATCTAGGACTTAGTACTTAAAAAGATTACTATTATAAAAGGATTTTATATTAATATTATATCTAAAGCTATCTTATTAAAGAAGGGATTATAGTTTTTAGGATTAGATTATACTTTATATATTAGACTAGTAGTTAAATCTTTAGTAGTTAAATAGTTAGAGTATAAGCTAAACCTAGTCTTCCTTTAATATAAACCTATTTCTACCTACTTATAATCTCTAATACTAAGTATAATAATATGCCTAACTCTCTATTAAGAGAGAAGACTCTTTAGACCTTCTTTCGACTATACTTAACTAAGAATAGATAATATTACTATATAGTACCTTTATTTAGGATATACTAGTAAAAAAATACTTAAGAAACTTATTCTTTATATATATAATATAAAAATCTAGAGTATACTATATATTAAGTATAAGACCTATACTATTACTTATATATTATAAGTTATATTATAATATCCTTTAGAGAACCTACTACCTTATTCTTTCTAGAAGGTTATCTAGGACCTATTCTTTTATAAATTAGGATTTAATAGATATA